TTCAAACTGTGTATAGCTTCTTGTTTATGTCTTATTTCTTGTACCTCCCCCTCTCAGTGAAAGCCTAATTAACTCATTTTCTGCATTGTTTGGGGAAACCTGTTTTAAGCAGACCCCACATTGAGCAGACACCTTGTATTCAGCAGTCAAATAGCTCAAAATTTGTCAAAACGTTTCTTCCCATAATTGAAGAAAAACAAACCTGTACTTAGTGGACATCTCCAGGAGCCTATCAAATGGAGCCTCCATCTCCCATACAAGCCCTTGGAGTCAACCCTTTCCCGAGTAGATTTATAATTAGAACGGTTCCCAGGGGAGACTTCATGCGCCGACGGTGGGAAGAGCCAATCACAACGACGAAATGACAGTGCTATTGTACTTCATCAAACAGCAGGAAATTCGGTGTTGACAGGCCAAACACAATCACAAGCTAGTGAAACGTGACTTTAGCGTTTTCATCCCTCAGAGATTTTCTTTCTTTTCTTTCTAGATGGTAGATTATACTGTGGAGAGTTTTACACTCTGACTATGTTAATCTTAATTTTGGTTGCTTGTCTCACATTAAGAGGCTATGAAGCTGGTCTGTTACATCCATAATATTTAACTACTACCTGCAATCTGAAGTTCTGACAGGATTCGTTTTCTTTAGCCAATTTTTTTGAGCGTTAAGGTTCTTATTTCGGCTAAATGACTCAATATTAATCAAATTTCTAGTTATTCAAGGCTTTTTTTTTCGAAATGCGTTTATCTGAATAAATACTTGTAGTCCTTGTGGTTGTTTTGTCCGTCAGCTAGTGTGATGTGATGATTCCCTGCTATGTTTTGTAACGCCGGGCCCAGCCATTGTTTTGTCGCAAAAAAGTGATCTACAGATATGAATTCGGAGGAAAGAACTGAGCCTAAACTTCTGCATTAACTGCTGAGAATTGTCCTGTTAGTCAGTCATAATTCTTTTGGCGCAGATACAATCCATTTTGTTTTTCTTGAGATAAGTGGGTCTTTGGACTGGAGCGCGATGGCACAAATTCCTCTGTTAGCAAATTATTCACGGTCGAGCAACTGTTGTCTTCTGTTCAACTTTTCAAGTGCCAGTTTTATAGGGCAACTCTCATGGTGATACAAGTCAGTTGTTAAGGAAGACTGCAATTTCTCAAATTTCGGAACTGAAGCATTCCTCGTTAGTTGCTACTTATATTAGGTCATCGCTTTTGCATGCGGTGCTTAACTGGCGAAATCCACTCCACGGTGATGACAAAAATCAAATGATCCTGGCACTTTTTCGGCGCTGATCATCGAAAAGTTCCAAATCGTCCACAGAACGCTAAACATCGACTCTTTTCAAGGTGCATGCTTAAATGTGGGATGTAAAGCGGCAAAAAAAAAAACATTCGCAAAGATAACCTTTCCGTGATCCCCAGTTCGCTGCCTTTGTCCCATCGCTTCATGCTCAGTCTCAGTCGGGTAATTCATTAACCTTTATTTCATGATACCCAGATCCCAGCGGCTGTAAAATTGTAAAAATGGACGTATAGTAAAAAAGGAAAACGGTCGAAGGACGGGCTTCTGAGTTCGACTTCATCCACCTTCATTTTTTTCACGGTGACATACGAGACTCACGGAAATATGACACTTTTCGCGGGAAATAAGCCGTTCTATTTATAAATCTACTCGGGAAAGGGTTGACTCAAGAAATTAATGGAGATGGAGGCTCCATTTGATGGGCTCCTG